CTTAGTTCGTCCTTTAACTTCAGAAAGCACCCAAGTGGTCCTTTAACTTCATTTTTCTGGAACCCAAATGGTCCTTCCGTTGACAGGCTGCATACATGGCACGTTAAGTATCCAACAATTACCACTTTTAATTTTTTCATGCCTACGTGGAAAAACCAACTCAGCCAATTGATGATATAGCACCATTTTGAGTCCACGTTTGATTCACGCCTTTCTCGCCTCTCCCACCTTCTGAATAAACCAGTGGGGAGGGAAAATGTCATGACAAAGGAAACAGAAAGGAAGGCTAACAGGGGAAGGAGAAAGAAGATTCTTAGAAGGAACACATAGCCTACACGTGACAGGACTTCCAGGGAGGGTGCGCATTGTGCACGCCAGCAACAAGGTCCTCAGTGAAGTGTTTGGAATTTACTTCGGTTTTGGAGATAAACGACACAACAGAACAACTTAGATGTACATGCTAGAAATGGAAACTGGGAACGTTGCTTCTACTGGGAAGCAAGCACAAAACGACACCGTTTATGCACTAACCCGAATCTCCCAGGAACTTAATGCAGTAAAAGGAAATAATCGGTACACCGCCTTTTTTTTTTTTTCCGGGAATTTACGTCAGAAACCGGAATCAGAATCGGAGAATGTCGGACACGTGTCGACGTTGGCACGAGTTGTTAATCCCATGAACCTTCTTGCCGAAATCAATGGTGGAATTTTAAAATAAAAGAAAATGTGCGGAATTAAAAAAGGAAGAAGAAAGACTAACCAGATATCCACGGAACGCCGATTGGATCTTAACTGCAGCCAACTCTTCTCGGACCCCACAGTTGGTGCTGAAGTGCGGTGTTGGGTCACGTGGGCACCTACCACTGCTACTCGTGAGCCTAACGACGGCAACTGCTGCCTGTGCTGCCGCCACAACAGCCTCCGGAACTGCGGCAGTTGCTGCGGCCACGGCAATCGCGTGCTTGGTCGGATCTACATCGCGGTCCGATTCAGTAACGGATTCCTGGTTTATCATCTGCCGCCCATATGACGTGGGTTTTGAGTTGTGTTTGGCTGCCGCCGGCAGAGCCGAAGTAGTGGAAGTGGAAGTGGAAGTGGAAGTGCTGTCCTTCTCACGGTAAGATTTGACGAAGCTCCACCGGCGTTTGTCTCGGTGAACCTGTGGAGTTCTGGACGCGGACGGGGTGGTGGATGAGGGAGGTTGATGTGGGTCATGTTTTCTGAGTTCGAGTAGATTGCGGAACCACTTTGAAGCCTTACCCATTGTTTTGGCTGCTTTGTTTTATTCAGCAAAAAAAAGCCAAAGGAGAGTAGTTTGGAGGTTTTCTGGGTTGCATTTGCAGAAAGACAAAGGAGAGGTTTGGGGGAGGAGGAAAGGGAAGTGGGAAGGGGAAGACTTGTTCACGCCATGGTAGCGTGGGAAACAGTGAAGTGGTTAAGTTATTTATAGAAATGCGGGAATTAGACAGTAAGGAACTGTGTGTGCGAAGAGACTTCCCCTTCCCACTGGTTTATTCAGAAGGTGGGAGAGGCGGGAGAGACAGGAATCAAACGTGGACTCAAAATGGTGCTATATCATCAATTGGCTGAGTTGGTTTTTTCACGTAGGCATGAAAAAATTAAAAGTGGTAATTGTTGGATACTTAACGTGCCAAGTATGCAGCCTGTTAACGGAAGGACCATTTGGGTTCCAGAAAAATGAAGTTAAAGGACCACTTGGGTGCTTTCTGAAGTTAAAGGACGAACTAAGTTTTGAAATGAAAGTTCAGGGACCAAATTGGGTATTAAACCTTAATTTTGCTAGCAATCACTACTAGTTAATTAATTAAAAAGTAGATGAAATTCTAATCATTTTATGAGAACAGACACTTAGTATATGCATTTTTCGCCATTTATATATGCACTAGCCTACCCCAGAAATTACTAATACCATAATTGAATTTTAAAAATTTTAAGATGCATGAAAGGATTAATGAGAAAAATGGAAAATACAGGTGAGAAGCATCTGCAAAATTCATCTGAGTCAATAAACCCTAAACCCCAAAATTCGAAATCTTTTCCAAAAACCTAAGTTGAATTGTTTCTCTACATGGCTTCTTCAGAGATCGAGGTTGTATCATCAGAATCAGGATCGAAAACCCAGCAAAATTACGACCCCCAAATCGCTGTGGTTGATGTTAACTCTGCCTCTGCTTATGGAGATCTCGATAAAGTGAGAAAATTGGTTGAAGAAGACGGCATCTCTCTCCTTATACCCGATCTTAATGGCTATTACGCTCTCCAATGGGCTGCTCTAAACAACTACCCTGAAATTGTACAGTACATCATCGAGGTACCTTCAATGCATAATTATACAGGGTGTTAATCATAGAATCATTCTGAGCGAAAGAGCAAAATCATAAGCCATTCATGGTGGATTCTATTGTGGGTTGTTAAAAATTTCTTGAATTTACTATGTTTTCGTGGTTGGCTCATAATTTGCAAGCTCAGATTTTCGTTTTCATTTTTGCATTAATTGTTATTTATCTGCAAAATCCATGTTGCCATTCATGGTTTCCGTGAACCTTGATGGATGTATTTTCTGGTAGATGAGATTGAGACTTAGATGTTTTTTGTGTTGGTTTTCGTGAAGCATGGTGGTAATGTCAATTCTGTGGATAATAATAAGCAGACAGCATTGCACTGGGCAGCTGTTAGGGGCCCAATTGCTGTGTCAGACCTGCTCTTACAGAATGGAGCTCGAGTTGAAGCAACTGACACAAATGGCTATAGGGTAATTATTCTATTTTGGTTGTTCTTTTTATTGATGTTGACTTCAAATCTTTCAAAGTCATGATATTTTATGTGAAGAATTCAACCAATCTTTATAGAGATCCTAAGTTTTGTTTGTTTCTATTCTCTTTTAAGTGGAGATGAAATCTACTAGGGATTTATTTTTATGCTGCATGAGTTGAGAAGAATCTGTAATTGTATGGTAAGATTATACGTTTTTAAGATGGTTATGTGTAGCTCTTGCATATTGTCTAAGCTACAAAAAGTCCATAGTTAATTTTTTTAATTGGCATCCAAAAGGTATCTATATCTTCTGGACACTATTTCCTTTTATAAATTCTGAGGTGATTATGTTCTAATAATGCATATGAGGAATCCCCTTCTCTACTGCAGGCAGTTCATGTTGCTGCTAAGTACGGACAAACAGCATTCTTAAATCACCTTATTGTAAAGTACCATGCTGATTATGAGGCTACAGATAATGATGGAAGGAGTCCTCTCCATTGGTATGTTGACGTTGCTATGGATAATAGCTTCATTGATGGGGCAACTGCTTTTAGGCATAAAAAATTAGTAAAGAGCATTGCAAACTCTTAAGCCTGTTATAATCCATCAATCAGATTAGAAGATGGACACAATTGGTTATTATTTTTATTTTCTAGTACTAGTTGGTCCGAAGGCCAAATGATTTTTTATTTTTTTAAATGCTTAAAAGTTAAATTATGATGTCTCATGCAATAGTCTTAGAAATAATGAATGCTGATTATTTGGTTGTTAATTTAGAAATTTTGTTGTAATTTTTGAAACAGGGCTGCATATAAAGGATATTCAGATACAGTTAGATTGCTTCTCTTTAGAGATGCTTCCCAAGGGAGCCAAGACAGCAATGGTATGCTTGGAGACATATGGTATCCTACAGTAGTATATGAAGCAAGTTCATCACATTCCTTATCTATCATGCAAAGTCCAATGGGAACTAGAGTATTGGCTGTGGTAGTATGTCTTTTGTTGTGAACTGTGGACTTAAAACTTTTAAGAACTTTATACCATCAAAATTTTCTGTTTTCTTCATCTATTCATCTAAGCACCATATGAGTAAAGAAAAAGTACATATGCTGTTGATTATTCTAAATGCCTTGAGTAAGTGTGCCACACAAGGAAAAAAAGCATATGGGAGGGGAAAACATCAACCTAAACTGAAGCTGAAAGGAAGTTATTATTGTCTTTCCTGACCATATCTTATGCATTTTGTGGAAAGTGTCTGAACCTAAAACAGCTGTGTAAGGTAATAGAAAGCAGACTCAATTTCCATGATGGTGAGAAAGTTCTAATTATTAGACTGTTTATCATTGATATACATCTGTGCTGCTGGGAGCTAGGCTGCTGTGAATAACATCTAAATCTTCTTGTTGCATCAAAACATTTAACTGCTTACTAATCAAATTGCACCTTCACTAAAGTTGAATTTGATAAAATGATATTGTTTAGTAATTCAAGAGTAGTTGATGTTGTTTACTCCGCTAATCATTTGCCACTATATTTGTGTTGGGTATCCCATGCTACCAGGTTGTACTCCATTGCACTGGGCTGTAATAGGAGGAAGTGCAGAGGCTTGCACTATACTTGTACATGCAGGCACAAAGCAGGAACTAATGATGAAAGATAAAGCTGGATTTACCCCTATTCAGCTTGCATCTGATAGAGGTCATCGACGAATCGCCACTTTCCTTGTATGTGATTTTGTGTAGGTGTTGCCCTTGCTAGATACTTTTGTTTAAGTTAACTAATTAGCTAAGTGAATATGGATTCTTCAAGAATACTGTCTAGTGGTTTAATCTTCAGTACTGATGGATATTTAACCTTTATATGTTATTTATTTATTTTTTTTGTCTTGATTCTTTTCAGTCAAACGCCCAGCGGGCAAATAGCAACTACTTAATCGACAAACTTTGCAGTGGGAATTTGGGGAGTACTGCCTATGCTCCTATATTGTTTTCTGTTATAATATTTCAAATTGTACTCTTTATTAACTCAGTTCTCACTGGTGAGTAGACCACAGTGTTAAATTGGTCGTAGGTGTATTTATCTTTTTTCTGATAATCATGCCTGACTTCTTATTGTCATGTAGCTTCAAATCTTCCAAAGGTAACTGCCATTGTTGGACTTTGGGGATGGATTGGTGTTTCTCTGGCTATTTGTTCACTAATAATGTTCTACAGGTGTAGTTGGTAATTTCTTGCACACTGTCACTCTATCTGACATTGGTCAATTAATTTAGCTTCTATATCATTTGTATAATGTTTTAGAGCATAGCATAGATATTTTATTGAACACAACATGTGGCTAGTATTTATGAGCTGTAATGTTTTTATTCATTTTTGGCCATGTGATGTTTGTATTCCTAGCAAGAGGATTTGCTTTTCCTGTCGAGGACATATGCTACGACACACATCCATTGATAAACTTTTTAAGTTAATAATTCTCATAAATTATTTTTACTAATGGGAATATGGGGATTCACATTATTTTTTCCTTCTTTTTTTTTTTTTTAAAAAAAATTTGCTTTACTGATTTTCTTTCATAATTTTCTGCAGTAAAGATCCAGGTTATCTTAAAAGACCTGGAGGTATGAGAAAACATGAAGATGGGGAGGTATGAGCCATCCTGTTTTGATTAGTTATGTTACTATTCTTGCCTTGAAATGTCAAAATTTTAAAATAGAAGTGCAGTAATTCTATCTGTTTTTATCAAACCTACTAAATTTACTATTACCAGGATCCTTTGTTGAATATTGATCTCAACAACTCTTCAGTATCGACAGGAAATTGGTCTCAGCTTTGCCCTACCTGCAAGGTTACCTGCAGAACTTTATCTTTCTGATATGTCATGTGTTTACATCATTACATATGTATGTCTTTATGTGCATCTTCTTGTTCTTGATGTGTTCAACTGATTGAATTTATGCATGTTTTTAGATCATAAGACCTGTTCGTTCCAAGCACTGCCCTGTCTGTAAGCACTGTGTAGAACAGTTTGACCATCATTGCCCATGGATATCT